TCCATCTCTTCTTCCTAGTACCAAGGCCTGAACCTTGGCAGGGTGGAGCAAAGGGCTAGGATTCTCTGCTGTTTAGCAGCTGAGGTGGGATGGGGAGCTCACCCTCCAAAGGATCTTTCTTTCCATAATGAGTGTGGGGAGGGTATACTAGGAAGGGGACACATTGTCAGGGCTGTTTCCATCAATGTCCCTAAATGCTTAGGTACTGATTTCAAGCAGTCAGTCAATAAACATTTCTTAAGCACCTACTATGTGCCAAGCAATACATTAAATGCTGGACATAGAAATACAATTAAAAGCAAAGACAGTTCCTCCCTTCCTTTGGTTTACAATCTAATGGGACAAGATAACACATAAAAGCTGAATGGGGAGGGGGGCTGTGGAAGGAAGGGGCAGAAGAGGAGGTTCCCAGGCAGGGGGAGGGATAGAGAGGTCCAAAGCAGGGCAGCTGGTGGCAAATGGGGAGAAGACTGGACTGAGCTGCTGGCCTTGAACAGAAGCCCTGGAGCCTATCACTGCCCTCCAGTCCCATCAGAGGGACAGAGGGTACTGAGAAGATGTGAGCACTGAGGCAGATCTAGTTTTGCAGGATAATGAGATTTCCCAATACTGAGTTGCCTGGGGAGGGAAGGCCTGATAGAGAGGTTCAGAGAAGTCCAGTAGCCATGTAGTGGGGAGGAAATGGGGAGAAGATTATGCTGAGACCTCTCCTGAAATAAAGGCCCTGGAGGCCATGACCCTGCCCTTTAATCATAGGCCTCCTCCTCCAGCCTTTTCAGAGGCCCAGCCAGGAGAGGGAAAAGGCCCAGATTTTCCAGCTCAGGAGTTTGTAACCGGTATCTGTGAACTTGTTTTAAAAAACTATTTTGATTTAATAGATTAAAATTGATTCTAGTAGAGTTGACATTTCAGATATAACTGGTGAGTCTAGAGCACAAGAGCCACAACGTCCACCTTTCTGTTCATATTAACAGCTTCTCTAGGCAAGTTCACTCTGCCAGATTCCAGGTGTGAGTCCAGTTGGTCAGTGAGTTGGCATCCTAGTCTATTCATAAGCAGCAAAGGCATTTTCCTCAGCTTTCTCTGATAAAAGTGGTTGGAACATGGTGGTAACTACATGGCATTGCACCTTCTCTACCTTCACCATCATCTCTGTATGTAGTCCTAGGAGGCAACGTTGGATCTTTAGGGGGTCCCTGCCTTTGAGGAGATCACAGACTAATGGGGGAGACAATACATAAGTGCACACACACATAGACATAGACACAGACACCCCCCCACACATACAATCCCCTCACGCCCATGGGTGCCCAGGTTTAGAGCATTTGAGTCAAGCATCCTCATAGCTCCTTCTCTTGGTTGGGAGGAGCCTGAGGGAAGATACCCTCCCTGGGTATCTCCTCCTCTGCCCCTTCTTTCCCTACCCCTCCTCCCCATTCACCTTCCTTTTGTGTGTTCTCTTCTCCCATTAGATTGTAAACTGTTGGAGGGGAGGAACTGTCTTTGTTTTCAGTTGTACTTCTAGCCTCAGATTTAGCATAGTTCCAAGTGCATAGCTCCTTCTCTTGGTTGGGAGGAGCCTGAGGGAAGATGACTCAATTATCATATAAATACGCTCTCTAGCAATGGTGGGCTCAGCTGTGGTTACTCTGAAATCTTAAGTGGAAATCAAATGCTTTGAAACTAGTTGAGCTGAAGATGACAAAATCTCAGATTCAGAAGAGGCCTCAGAGACTAGGTCTTTCAAGATGAGATCCTCGAAATTAGTTTCTCCAGGTCCTGATAGAAAAATGGGTTTTAGAATGAAACCTGCAGTGTTAGACTGGTTACCCTCCCACCCCCAGGCCTGCAGCTGCTCACCATTCTCCTCTGGCACCAGCATGAATATGGTGATTCTTAAGACAAAGCCCTATTGATCTCATCCTGGTTATGCCTCTGGTTGAGCATCTTCTAGGAAAAACGCCATCCCCTAAAACTCCTAGGAATATTGTAGCCAAATTCCAGAGTTCCCAGGTCCAGGAGAAAATAATTGAAGCAGCCAGAAAGAAACAATTCAAGTATTGTGGAAACACAATCAGGATGACACAAGATTTAGCAGCTTCTACTTAAGGGACTAGAGGGCTTAGAATATGCTATTCCGGAGGTCAAAGGAGATAGGATTACAGCCAAGAAATCACCTACCCATCAAAACTGAGTATAATCCTTCAGGGGGAAAAATGGAAATTCAGTGAAATACAGGATTTTCAAGCATTCTTGATGAAAAGACCAGAGCTGAATAGAAAATTCGACTTTCAAATACAAGACTCAAGAGAAGCATGAAGAGGTAAACAGGAAAGAGAAATCATAAGGGACTTATTAAGGTTGAACTGTTTATATTCCTGCATGGAAAGATGATATTTGTAACTCATGAGACCTTTGTCAGTATTAGGGTAGTTGGAGGAAAATAAATTATATATATTTATATATATGTAGATAGACAGATAGAGGGCACGGGGTGAGTTGAAGATGAAGGGGTGATATCTGGAGAATAAAATTAAGGGGTGACAGATTATACTGGGAGAAGCAGAAAGGGAGAGTGGGGTAAATTATCACACAAAACAGACAAGAAAAGGCATCTACAGTGTAGGGGAGGTGGTGGAAGGTGAGAGGGAATGAGTGAATCTTATTCTCATCAAAAGAGAAGGTCTATGGAGAAGAAAACGTGTATTATAACTGGAGGGGCTGCTTTCCACATGGAAGTCTGATCAGATGCCAGTCGCCTTTTCCTTTTCATTGTAGTAAAAACTGCATTGAATCTCTTAGTGAGAAATTCTTTGGGGTCACAATAAGGAGGGAAAAGAGATCTTGGAAGTAAGTGAGAGGAGGGAAATGAGCTATAAAGTGACCGAGTATTAAGAAAATATGAAAATTCATAGGCTTTTACATTGGAGGCAACTAGAGAGTTGTAGAGACAAGAGGTAGACATCAAGGTAACTAAGGACGGATCTGTAGTTGTGTTATGTCATTAGCTCCAGGCTAGATTGCCCTCTTGTGGCTATGTTAGACATAGAAGTTTGAGGAACTTCCAGCTACTTCCCAACCACTCACCCCCCACCCTCCATCCAGGTGCCACCTAAAGCACTCAGTGCCTCTGTGTGTGCATAACAGCTTATAGGACTGTAAGATTAGGAAGTGGAAGGGACCTTAGAGATACTCCGGTCCAATTCCCTTGTTTTAGAGATGAAAGAAATAAAGCAAAGAACTTTCAATGACTCTCCAAGGTCACCCAGGTAATACCAATCAGAATTTGATTTCTAACCTAGTCCTTGAATAGTAAATCCAGTCAGTTAGTCAACAAGCAGTTATTCAGCACCTACTATGTGCCAGGTCCTGTGAGAAGTAGTAGGGATACAAAGAAAGACTAAAATACTCCTAGCCCTCCGCAAGGGAGCTCCCAGTCTAATGGAAGGGACAACACAGAATCCACTGTGGTCATGGAAGCTATATGCAGGGCAAACAGGAGGTAATTTCAGACAGACAGCACAAACAGTGGGTGAGTGGGGGACCAGGAAAGGTCTCCTGCAGAAGATGGGATCTGAGGTATATCTGGAAGGAAGGCAGGGGAGGCAGAGAACAGAAGTGAGGAAGCAGCACATTCCAGACACGGAGGACAGCCAGTGAACAAGCACAGAGTTGAGAGATGGAGTCCTCTGCGGGCAGAACAGCCAAAAGTCAGGTGCCCCTCCATTCCAAAGTAAGTGGAGAGGAGTGAAGAGTGAGAAGACTGGCCAGGCTGGAAGCAGCTGGGTTACAAACAGCTTTAAAGACCAAACAGGATTTTGTATTTGATGCTAGAGGTGACAGGAGACCCTGGAGTTTACTGAATAAAGGGCTGGGTGTGTGATAGGGTTGGACCTTTATTTTAGGAAGATCCTCTTGGCAGCTGAGTGGAGGCTGGACTGGAGTGAGGAGAGACTGGAGGCAGAGAGGCCCACCAGGTGACACCAGTGTGAGTGGAGAGAAAGGGACTGTTGTGAAGATATAAATGATGAACTTTGGTGATCTCTTCCAGGAGACCCCTCCTCTTTGCTCCCCACCCAACTTGTAGGAGGGGTAATCTGCCTTTATGCCCGTATACCCATACTGTTTCTGAAAAAAAGGTTACCGGGGATTCACACTTTCATATTTCAGGCAGTTCAGAACCAACCGTAGGCTGAAATAGTACTCCTCCCCATTTTAATAATTAAGCTCTTTCCTTTTGTTGTTACTGATTTGTGTCTGACTCTCTGTGACCCCATTTGGGGTTTTCTTATCATGGAAATTGGAGTGGTTTGCGGTTTCCTCCAGCTCATTTTTCAGATGAGGAAACTGAGGCAAACAGTGTTAAGTGACTTGCCCGGGGGGGGGGGGTCACACAGCTAGTAAATGTCTGAGGCCTGAATTGGAAGTCAGGTCTTCCTGACTCCAGGCCCTGGGCTCTATCCACTGTGCCACCTGCCATTTACCAGACTTTGAATTACTCTTTATTCTTGAGTCCCTTGCTTGCTTATCCACAAGGCCTGAGGAAGTTACAAGGCTGTCACAGCTGGGATGGAGGTCAATAAAATGGAGGTGGCAACACAGCCATCTACAAATCAGCCTTCAGATTTCTTCAATCCTCAGACACTCTCAATTTTGGGTGGGGACATTTCCTTCCCAACCTCTAAGGAGGGGAAAAGGTCTCACTGAGGAGGAATGGGAGCTGGAAGGCCAGCAGGTGAGAGTTGAGGGCTGGGACCTTCTTTTTTCTCTGGTTCCCCTGGGAGCACAATAGCCGGGTGTTCTTGGAGTGATGATGGGAGGAAGGGATAGATTCAGAGGCTGTTCTGGGAATGATACACACAGAAAGAAAGAAGGTCTGTAAAGCAGGGAATTTCCTCCGAGTCAGTTTCAGTTTTGGTCTCCTAACCTGTGAGTGCTCATTCTGCCCAGTCACCAATGACGTTTTTTTCCTTCTCGTTTGCTACTGGCCGTCAGAGCCTCTGTGAAGCCAACCAGAAGTTAAGGATCCGTTCCTCTGCAGTTCTCTACCATGGAGCTTAATGTGCCCTCTCTCTTTTTGTTGGGGACCCTGGCCCTGACGGAGATCTGGGCAGGTAAGTAGAGAATACTATTAACCGGCTGCCTGGAGACTGGGCACAGCATCCCGGGTTAGCAGTGTCGGGGGCGAAGGGGCTGTGATGCCGTGGGTGAGGAGGCATCTCGGGGCGGTGGGGTTCCTCGGACCTGACGTGGTCAAAGGTCACTCCCCGGGCTTGACTGTAGGGCCGCCGGGGTCGGGTCTAAGCGGTCACCGTCCTGACCCCGGCCCGGGTCCCCACGTCTAGGCTGTCACTCCCTGAGGTACTTCGACGCCGCCATGGCCTCGCACGAGCTCGCGGAGCCCCGGTTCCTCGCCGTGGGCTACGTGGACGATCAGCAGTTCGTGCGCTTCGACAGCCACAGCGCGAGTCCGAGGGAGGAGCCGCGGGCGCCGTGGATGGAGCAGATGGACCCGGGCTACTGGGAGCGGAACACGCGGGTCAATAGGGAGAATGCACAGAGTTACCGAGTGGGCCTGCAGAACCTCCGCGGCTACTTCAACCAGAGCGAGGGCGGTGCGTAACGCGGGCCTGGAGCAGAGTGGGGGAGGGGCGGGACCGTCCCAAGGTCACCTGTGGCTCCCACTGGAGACACGGGGGTGGGGGTGGGACTCCCGAGGCTGAAGGAGCTACTTCAGGGCCATCCTGGGTGGGGGGCGGGTCATGGAATCAGCGCCGGGGGGCGGAAGTCTGGCCGCGCTGACCTGGGGCTGGCGGCGGGGTAGGGGTCCACACCTACCAGAGCATTTGCGGCTGCGAGGTCTCCCCCGATCTCACCTTCAAGCGCGGGTTTTACCAATTTGCCTACGACGGCCAAGACTACATCGCCCTGGACACGGAGACCTCCACATGGATCGCGTTGGTGCCCCAGGCCGTGAACACCAAGCTCAAGTGGGAGGTGGACAGCAGCCTAGTTGAGAGAGAGAAAGCCTATCTGAAGGAGAAGTGCGTGCAGTGGCTGAAGAAGTACCTGGAGATCGGGCAGAAGACTCTGAAGAGGGCAGGTAGGGCCCGCTAGAGTGTGCGGGCGATCAAGGCCCCCAGCCGGTCCTTCTCCGCCTTCTATGCAGCCTCAGCCCCGGGCTCCCGACCCTCAGGGCCCGGATTGTGGGGTGTTCCCCCAGGCCCCACCTGTCCTTGTGTCCCCGGAAGGGAGGGGGGAAGGGAGAGCCTGGAAATGCCACTGTCCTTTGCTTCTAGACCCGCCCAATGCCCGAGTGACCCGCCACACTGCCCCCTACGGGGAGGTGACCCTGCGGTGCCGGGCCCAAGACTTCTACCCCTCGGACATCTCCCTGACTTGGCTGAGGGATGGGGAGGAACAGCTGCAGGACACAGAGTTCATTGAGACCAGGCCTGCAGGAGATGGAACCTTCCAGAAGTGGGCAGGTGTGGATGTGACCTCGGGCCAAGAAGAGAAATATACCTGCCGAGTTCAGCACGAGGGACTGCCTGAGCCCCTCACCCTGAAGTGGGGTAAGGACCTTGAGGAGGGTCTGGGAAAGGCCATCCCCCATACCCCTGAAAGCCCAGAGGGAGGTGGGGTGACTGGGAAAGGTAGGGGAGGGGTTAGTGAATCTCAGGCCCCTGGCCTGTCAAGGCCTCTTACTTCCCTTTTCCATTTCAGAGCCAGAATCCTCATCCACCTGGCTCATTGTGGGAGGCCTTGCTGTCCTCCACCTCCTCCTCACTGCAGTCATTGCTGAGTTGTGATCTGGAGGAAGAAGACTTCAGGTGGGCAGGACTGGGAGGGGGTCCTTAGGGAACAGGTGCTGTGGAGATCCTGGCTTCCCCTGACCCGCAGCTTGTCTTTCTGTCCCCAAGTCCTCTCTTTCCCATTTAATCGACTGTAGGATAGGACCCAAGAGTCTAGATCAGGGCTAGGGAAATTTAGCTGTAATCAAATAAGGCCAAATTCAAGAAACTTCAGTTAGACATACTTAAAAATGTATGTTATTTTGTAAAAATCTAACCACTATGTACTTAATAATTTCAAAAAATGAAAACTAGTTGTTAATTTTAAAGTTAACTAAGGCCACAGGTTCTCCACCCCTGTTCTAGATAAACAAATCCCTAACTAGAAACCATTTTCCTGGAGGATGCCAGGCAGGGGTATAACTAGGCTGGACTAGTGGGGAATGAGCTTCAGACTCAGATCAGAAATGCATGTGGGGATCTCTGCCAGAGGGCCTGGGTGTCCCCCAGCTGGGGGCATAGACCAGCCTTGGGAAACCCTGGAGGCAGGCCCGGAGGTGGGGAAGTGCCCATTTGGGGGGCCTCTTTTCTCTTTCTCTTGGATCCAGAGGCTGGACTGGAGTAGGGGATGGGGGTGCAGTCCCAGTTGTAATTTGTTGTGTCTCCAAGACAAACCAGTGAACTCCTGAGACCTTGGTGTGATCTCCTCTCCTGGATTCCTCACTGGGAATTTGTTTTCTTTTCCAGGTGGAAAAGGAGGGGACTATGTTCCTGCTGCAGGTAAGTGAAGGGTAGACATGGAGGGTAGAAGAAAGGGCCTAGCCCATAGTATCTCAGGGCAATGAGCAATGAGAAGGCAGAGGAGAGGCTTAGCCCAGTAGCCTTCCCTTGGGTTCCCCTTCCCTTCCCATCCCCTGGTTCTGGAATGTATGTCTCTGACTGGGTCGTTTCCCGCCTTTGTCTCCAGGCAATGACAGTGCACAGGGGTCAGATGTCTCCCTCACAGCCAAAGGTGAGACTCTGAGGGCCTGGAAGGAGAGAGGGGTTGGGGTAAAGGGGGCCAAGCAAAGAGCAGGGTAGGTGAGAGGTTGGGCTGAGGGTTCGGTGGGTGGTGAGGCAGGTGCTTCAGGATGATAAGAGTCTGGAGGCCAGAGGGGACTTGGAGGATCTCCCTGAATCTGTCTTTCCTTCTTCAGCTTGAGAGAATTGTCTGGTATGGACCTGAGGAAGAAAACAAGTCTCCAGTCCATGTGTTGTTCCTGTGGACCCCTAGCTTCTCTCCCCAGCACTGGCCCCTGGGATCCTCCCTGGACTCCACTGGCCCAAGCTCAGGAAACCATCAATATGGCCCTCATCCTACTCTCTAAGGCCTCCCTCCCCCACCTTCTTTCTTTCTGCCTGTCTCGCTCTGCAGGGAGACAACCAGCAGTAAGGGCCAGAGGGCTTTGGAAGTGAACCCTCCACATCTGATGTTGCACTGACCTCTGGGATCTTTTTCTGACCAAAAAAAAAAAATCCCAAGGAATTATTGCTCTTGAAATTTCATGTTTTCTTTACAATGTCAACAGCCTCACATTTGGGTAGGGGACTTTGGGGGACAGGATGGCAACATTAAGATGTTCTGGCCGCATGACAGGAAAATAAATGAAAGTTTGGAGACATCTGGGAATCCTTTTATTTGCTCTGCTGAGTCTGTGAGTGCAGGTAGGCGCTGGGACCAAGAGGGGAAGGAGCCTGGGGGAGGACTGGTGTATGGTGCAGGGTGAAGGTGCAGAGGCTTGTCTTTGCTTTGTACCTCTCAGGTGCACTTGTGGACATGGTGTATTGGGTCTTGTTCCAGGGCTTCAGACAGAGCCCAGGCTGCACACCCCTCCTGGAACTGGAACGATGCCCAAACAGAGTGTTGGCCCACAGGCTGCCTCTCAGCACCGACCTTCAAAGAGTTCCCATTCTCTCTGTTTTGTCATCATTTCTTCTCCACTTGTTTATGTGTACCTGCTTTTCTTTCATTTCAGGGGCCTCCCTAAAAGCTTCTGTGGCCTCTGCTCAGGGCCCATTCCAAGGCCCTAACTCTAACCCCAGGTGGGGGCTTCCCACTCTGAAGAAGGGAAGAGTTTCACTTTGGAATTAACGAAGGAGGGAATATTTATTCTTTAAATAGAAAGAAGCACCTGCCACTTTTCTACCTCAATGGGGTCCTGACCCTGTACGTGTTAGAGCCAGTTCATTGATTTCCACCTGTAACTTTCCCCCTCCCCCATCCTCCTTTCCCCTTTGGAATGATCCCTGCTACTGTGAACTTTTACCTTTCCCTCTTTTGTTCTGCCCTAGTGTTTCTTTCAAAAAAGATGGATGTTTTAATGATTTCCATTTGTCTCCCATCTTTTAATCACTATCTCAGCTTAGCATTGGATAATTTTTATCCTCATCTGAGGCCATCCAAGTTTTGCTCCCTTGTTCTACAATCCCTGTGTGGCGGAGTATTCATTGATCTAAGGAAGGCGGACACAAAGAGGTGGAAGCAGGCCTTCCTATCTCCTGGCTGATGTGTGATAATTAAAAGAAAACATTTGCTACAAATGTCAGATCAGATCCTGGGGTCATGCTGGGCATTTGTTGCTCATACAACGCTTTGAGTGGCTAGAACATAGTTTTTGCAGTAGGAGGTTGGAGGCCTCTCTCTGAGCTTCTGTTCATCTCCCAGGCAGCCCAGGGATTCTGTGATAGTAAGTGGGTGGCCTGGAGCGTAAGCCATGTTATCCAATGGCCAGACATGATTTAGGGACCCTGAAGTTGAAGCAGGGAAAGAGCTTCGAGGGGGTGGAACTGTTTTCCTCTCTGAGCCTGGGAGCTTCCTCTTGCCTTGGTCATCCAGTTGTGGAGGCTGGTACTTGGAGGACTTGTCTTCTCTCTTTTCAGGGGACTTCCTATCTGCCAGTGGCTTACAAGAAGCAGGACAAAAATATAGCTTTTATATCTCTGATGAATAATTAGATCACTGAAATGTGAAACATCTCTCAGACAACTGGAGTTGCTTTTCTAACCCTAACCCATTATATCTCTGATTAGTTCACTGAAATGTGAAACTTCTCTCAGAACTGGATTTACTTTTCTGACCCTCATCTCCAAACTCTGTGACCTCCAGAGTCCAGCCTTCCAAATCCTCCCTCTCAACCATTACAGGTATGTAATCTTCCTAAGCAGGAGGCCCACCTTGGAGGGACTGAGTGACCAACCCTTGTGGGCTTTGTTAGAGTATGGATTCCGTGCAGGCATAGGTTTGAGCAGAGGGCTCAAATACACAGCTTGCTCCCTGACTGCAATATTCTGGAATGCCTTGGAACCAGATTAAAGACTAGTTGGGAGATATTTAACAAAGAAATGAAAATACAAAAAAAAGCAGATAACATTTCATTTTAAATTAAGGCAGCATATGGCCTGCAGTGATCCTTAAGTACAGACGTGTGGCTGCCATTCCTATTTAGGGGCTGCTAGGTGGCACTGCAGTGGATAGAGTGCAGGGCCCAGAGTCAGGAAGACTCTTCCTGAGTTCAAATCTGGCTTCAGAAACTTACAAGCTGTGTGACCTTGGGCAAGTCACTTCACCCTGTCTGCCTCAGTTCCCCATCTGTAAAATGAGCAAAAGAAGGAAATGGCAAAGCACTCCAGTATGTTTGGCAAGAAAACTCCAAATGGGGTCGTAGAGTGTTGGACATGGACTGCAAATGACTGAATGACAACAGCAATTTCTCTTTCAGAAATTCTCTGAGAAAAAAATTTCTCTTTGAGTTTGCCATCATTGGTTAGACTAGCTGACCTCTGAAGGCCCAGATGACTCTCAGATTCTGTGATGCTAATTTTCTCCTACACTTATGGTTGGTTTGTATCAAGGAGTTCCCTGGCCCTTTGCTACTACCCCCTCAACACACATAGAACCATGGAAGAATGTTGAGACTGCTCATTGGGAACAATTGTTGGGTAACATCCTTCTAGTCACATATGTGTGTGCTGGGGTCAGGATCTGACAAACCAAGGCCTTCCCATCCCAAACCTTAGCTTGCCCTATAAGCACCTTGGCTTTGCCTTCTTCCTTTCCTAACAGTCTCCCTGTAGTTCATAGGTTCAAAGCAAGAGATCTGGCTTATTAGCCTTAGTATCACTGACAATACAAATGTTATTCTCATTTTACTGATGATGAAACTGAGGTGCAGAAAGTCTCAGTGAGGTGCTCAGAGTCACACATAATGAAAGCCAGAGTTAGGGCCTGACCTCAGGTCTTCCACTCCACCATGGGGCCTCCCAAGCCCAACACTCCAAGTCCTAGCAGCAGCCCTGGATGAAGCCTGGCCTGCATAGACCTGTGGAGGTCTGCCTCTGAAATCTTCTTCTGTATCTCCAGTTAATCCCTTAAATGTTGATACCTCATTCTGCGGCTCTCCCTCTCCTGAATCCCCTGTTTCTGGCAGGGATCTCCCCTGGAATCTGCAGATATCTCTGGAATCTCCTGACAAAGGCATAAGCAGGATGGGAGAGGAGGGGAGGCATCCCTGTGTGTCACAGCCGTGTGCATCTGGCTCCTGTGTTTGCAGGCCCTGAGCCTCAATGGCATGCCTGAAACCAACCCCCTGGCCCTGTCAAAGTTAGGGGAATATTAAACCAGCAGATGAATTGCATTTTCATAGGCATCCAAGTGAGGTAAAGTTGGGGCTCACTTTTGTCATTTGCAGCAGAAAGTTGGTCTAAATTTCAAGGTAGCAAAGTGGCCCAGTCAATGGAGCCTCTGACTTAGAGTCAGGAAAACCTGAGTTCAAATCCCATCTCAGACAGTTAATGGCTTTGTGACCCTAAGCAGGTCGCTTAACCTCTCACTTCAGGTTTCTGTATCTGTAAGATGGGGCTCATAATAGCACCTTCCTCCCAGGACTGGTGTGAAGGTCACATGAGATCATATTTACAAAGTGCTTTGCAAAGCTTGTTATAGAAATACTAGCTGTTACTATGATTGCTTGCAAGCACTAATTCCTATGATTTTGCCAATTCCAAACAGTCATTCGATCACCACCATACTTCACTGAACTGGTGACTTTCATCCCATCCCTTCAGAAGCCTAAGAATTGCTCCTTGTGTGAAGAAGACATCAGTTTTTTATCTCCTAAGCAGGGACACTCCTTCCACCCAGTGGATATTCATGGTATTACAGGATTTAGAATTACAGTATATCCTCCCTTCTAAAATGATGTGTGTGAAGACGAGAGGTAGGGGGTACAGCCCTCTGATAAACCAGCGCCTGAAGCCTTCAGACTTCCTAGTGAGCTTGAGGACTTCACAGGATCATCAGTCTAGAGTCTGAGGGGGCCTCCGAGGCCATCTGGTCCAGCTGCTTAGTCCATAGTAGACCCAAGAAATGCTACTGGCCTGACTCCAATCCCCAAATCTATTCCTCTGACCTCTAGGACTTCTCTGTGAAAAGCAAAATCTGCTTGATAATTACTAAAAACTTTATTATTCAGTGGAACAATGATAAATAACAAGTTATTGAAGGAAGATTCTGGAAATAGAGGGTCCTTCAGCTGCTTTCTGGGTCACTGGCAGATTACACACACACACACATATGGAACAATAGTAAACAACCTAGGGTCATGATTAGATGCAGCTTATGAAGTCCAGGGCATTCAGAGAAACTAGTCTGGGATATCCAGGAAAGGCTTCCCAGTGGGAAGGAGACTTCAGCTTCAGAGTACAAGTTATATTTGTCTATGTCAGGGGCTTTTCACCTGGAGTACACTGACCTCTGAGGAATCTGATGATAGTTTTCAGGATGGGAAAAATACATCTTAATTTCACCTAACTTCTAATTGAAATGTAATCAGTCCTTTGACTATTAAATTTTCAAAAACCATACTAGCATTCTGGGAAGGCATTTATTAAAAGCTTCATCAGATGACACACAAACAAATTAAGATGCCCTCATGTAGGTTATAGATGGGACAGCAAGAGAAGTGGTCAGGGATC